TTTATCTTTCTTACGAAAATCTATGAAAATTACATGGTTTAGAAGATTTTTGGAATGTGACTTGGAAAAAACTATTATTAAAGTCAATGATGCCAAACTTTTGTAAAACTTTTTTAGTGTATGGAAATTGGAACCTAAAAGAATTTGCAAATAAAAATAATAATAAATTTTGGAAAGATGCTCCTATGACATTGTTTGAATTTAAAACAATTACCGATGATGATTTAAATGTATGTCCCAAGAACCCTTTATGGTTGAATTCCAGGATTAGAATTGAAAATAAACCTATTTTGTATAAAACATGGATAAGGAAAAGTATAATGGTCATTCAGGATCTGATAAAGGAAGATGGAAACTTTCTATCCTACGATGAATTCTGTATTAAATACAACTTCAGACCAACCTTTACCATTTTTAAGGGGTTTAAGAAACGCTATTTTGAGCAAATGGAATATTAATTCGATCATAAACTCTTTGCAACAACTGCCTTCTCAACCAATATTATTTTACTGGTTGAATAAAAGTTAGAAAGGAGCAAAAGAATTTTACAATGTTTTTTATCGACAACTCAATTAAAATTGTCAAGTGAATATAAATGGGAAAAAGATGTCAATTTTACGAACTATGGAAAAAATATTATTTATCTATTTTCTTTGCCACAATTGATGTAAAGCTAAGATGGTTTCATTTTATACTTATTCATCGGATATTGAGTACAAATTGCTATCTAAAAAAAAACAAGTTGGTAAATGATGACAAATGTGACTTCTGTAATGTAGAGTCTTTGCTCCATCTATTTGTAGCATGTGATTATTTTAATACCTTCTGGACATCTTTTTGTCGATGGATAAGTTAATTATATCAATTCAATATAGCTGTTAGTCCAGTAGATATTACTTTTGGAAAAATTGGGAAAAAGTATAAACTGCGAAATCTGCTTATTGGATTAGCAAGATTACTTATTTATAAACAAAAAATGAAGAAGAATCTGCCATGCCTGGATAGTTTGAAATTTGACATGCAATATTATTGCAAAGTAGAAAAACAAAGTATGAGTGCATATAACCATTGGCAAAGTGCCCATCGTCCAAATTTTTCAATAATTTGCTGTTATTAAGTCCATGCATATATTTGTTGCATGGAAAAATATAATTTGGTTTGAGGCATCGTAACCAAGAAGTTATAACAGAAGGAGATTACAACCTGAAAGTTGTTTTCAGTCACCTCACAAACTCTATACATTTCAAAAGAGGACAAATATTTTATGTTACTGTCATGTATGATGGTCTGGGAGAAGTCTCCAACCGTATGCTGGGGATCTGGTGAATCTACTCGACAAACTCACAACTTTGATTCTTTACAGGTTTATTTCTGCTAGCGGAAAAGTACATAGGGGCCTTAATCTTCACAATACGAATGACAACCTTCCTGCTCGAGAGCTAACCCTGTACTGACTTCTACATCACATTGTTAATTTTTAAATCTCTTGGGAGGGGGGAGGTGACTGACTGAGAACCTGCCTGGTTCCTATTGGCCAGTTTGCCTGTCACTCATCAGCACCTATTTAATTTTAGAGATATTATGTACAATTTACATAATACAGAAATACAGACAGAATATATAACATAAAATGCAGATGAAGGCGGCTACATAGCAATTGACAGTCTCCATAAAACTAAGGTAAGTTAGATATGAAGTGATTTACATTGTCTTAATTAAACACAGGTAAGGTAGGTACGTAGTTATTATTTTCTGAAAATGGTTTCATCCACAACATAAAAGAAAGTCTCACTTGGCTATTTAGATAACTTTCTGGTTTCCTTAGATCAGATAAAGTCACAGGATATACTGTCCATTGTCAAGGTAAAGGTACTGCACTTAATTAAAGACTCACATGATATCTCCCTTCCACATTAGCAAGACCATAATAATTTGAATAGATATAAACAGGAAGGAAGGTTCAGCTGTAACTAAGTGTCCCATGGCTGTAATGTTGTTTATTTTCTTTTTCTTGTTTGATATAAATGTTAAATAATCAGGAAATAAATAATGCTAAATAACTGTCATACATGTGATAAAAACTATGTATAATTTGTAGAGTGACACGGTATAACAGTTTACCTGATTGCCAGTAAAATTCGGACTGATCCAGTGAAATTTCTTTAAAGCAGTCACTTACTGACCAAGTTTTTTTTTAGCTGTAACATGTACTGCAATGTGGTTTATAAATGTTCAGACTAAGGCTTCGTTCACATGGAAAGTCTATTTTCTAAAAATCTATTTTTATTTTCTATTCGCAGTATATCTTGTGATCATGGTCTGTGCCCTGAGTTTCCCGCGGCGTGATTACTGGCAGTGCGAGCCAGTTACTTCCAAAGCTGTAATTAATTATCGGCTGTGCTCGGATGAGATTCTGATAGCTTGACGCATGCGTAGTAGGAAGTTAGAAAATTAATGGCGGTCGCGGTGCCTTTGAAAAATGTGTTTGTCGAATTTGTGCAACAACAAGACGAAGAAGATGAATACGCTATACACGACAGATACGAGTGCAACCGTCATGATCCGATGGCAAGCGATGCGGCAACGGAGGATGAGATTTTATAGAATGCTAGCACAGCCGAGAATTAATTACAGCTTTGTATAAGTAACTGGCTCGCGCTGCCAGAAATTAGGCCGCGGGATATTCAGGGCACAGACCGTGATCATAAGATACCGCGAATAGAAAATAGATTTTTAGAAAATAGACATTCCATGTGAACGAAGCCTAAGCGTTTTCTTCTTCTATAATGACCTTTTGAAAATCCCGTGTTTTAATCCTATTTGCACGGTATTTGCACGGTTGAAAAAAATTGCCAACATAGACTGCATAAAACTGGAAAACTGTAGCAACTTACTCATACTTGTACGTTCATAAATTACTGTTTATGTATGTTAAAAATTTTGTTTTTGGTTTTGTAATAATAATAAAATAGTTTAACGCACAAATCCTACTAAAACGGCCTCAGTATGAAGTTGACTTACAAAACATTCAGTCTATATAGTAAATAATAATTTGAGATTCTATATTCTCATCTTTATTTCTGTTTCAATTTTAAGAGCTCAGTTTATATTAAAATTTCTGATACATTTTATACATAAATATATATGTATGAACAAAAATTGTTAAGCACTTTGTATGTACTTGTTCACAGACAAATATGAAGCGTTAGTACTCAGTATGTGTTAAAATTATCCTGAAAAAAAATATATTTCGAAGATAAAGAAACTTAAAACGAGAATTCAGAAAAATGTTACATGCCGTGGCATTGCCACAACCTACATATATGTTTAAAATTTTACTTTAATGCATTATAATATTAAAATTATACTGAAAGAAAAATATTCTAAGATTAATTAATTTAAAACCAAAGACACGCTGAGGCGCTGTCACAATCTAAATGTTTATGAGACCTTAGGGCTGGAGGGTCCAAACATTCATATATTAATATTAACTTTTGCCAGTGAGGACAGACTGGAATGTCATTCTCCCAGTCGGAATGACGTCCCATCCGGAGATAGTCCATAGCAACTATTTAGCGTGGGGGTAAAATCGGTCGTTAGGCGCCATCTTGCCATGTATTTCAATGAAGACGTGACCAAAAAAAAAGTGCGAAAAAAGCGATCTTACATAGTTCAAAAGTGAAAATGGCATTTGAATATGTGGAAGACTTCGTCCAGATTTAGTAAACAGGTATGGGGCAAAACTTGATCTCTGTGGGCATGTTATTTGCCCTACTGTAGTTTGAAAGAATTGATGAGCGGAACAGTGTTTAATAGAATTTTACATTCCTAACTAGTATGAATTCTACTTGAAATAGAATTCAAAACCCATCTAATGACTCTAACCTGTTAAAAAATGCAGAGAAAAGGCATAAAGAGAACTTCTTCGCGGCGACCAAAGTTTAGATCTCTAAATAGCCTACTACCATCACTATTTACTCTTGCTCTGTTTATCGCTGCCAGCCATTTCAATCTTCTAAACTTCTCATTAGGTATAACAAAGAACTTGATCTAACCCCCTTTGTATTTTCTTGAATAACAGCCAGCTACAGGACAAGTTTTTGGAATTTTTTCGTGTTACTTTCTCCACGTCTAATACATGAACTCAACGCGGTTGCTAGGGAGTTTGCCCCAAGCGGTTTTTTTCTGCGCGCGCACATAGGTGTCACGTGGGCTATTCGACTGCAGGAATTTTCACAAACCCCAGTTGGGACGTTTTCTTTCCTTACTAATCCTTGGTGAGTTATCACTGGGGTGTGCAATAAAAAGCCATCTTCCTTCGACTAAAAAAAAAAAAAAAACTCATGGCGACCATCCTCAGTCAACACCTCATTATCGCTTTCCATGATGTCATTCCGTGCCAGCACATCGTCCAAATAATCACTTGTGAAAAAATCGTCGTCTTACAGCTCTGCTTTGGACACAACTGATCTCGAAATCTAACACGAAATAACGTATAATATGAAATCAATCTCCAAGCTGAGGAGAGCGACGCAGACGAAACCTTGAGACAGGAGCCCCCTTATTAACACCCTATTTGGTGTGAGCGCAGGGATTATATTGTAGTCTACCATATAATTCCCTGGTCAGAGGAACCATACCAAGCGACATGTGCCTTTTAGACTGAAAACCTGTATTGTGTTATCTGCGGGTTTCAGATAATTTTGTTTACTTAAATTAGATTACAATTCATTCTCAGCGTTGTTGGCAAGCAAATGTGCTATTATGAATACTTTATTTGCTGATATTGTGAAAAAGAAAAAAAATAATTTCCCTCAAATCATGTGCTTCGGCTTACAAAATATCTATTTATCCACCTATATTTAAATTGGTACTATTTTACCTAATGACAACAAAATTAGTTAAAATAACATTACACTCCCCTTCATCAAATTCACTAACAACTTCCTGGAAATTTTGAAAGAAATACTTCATATTTGTTTTACTGTAAGAACAAGTACCTGTATAGAACACCTTCCCAGATGGCCTGTCCAGCAGGTCTGCCAGGTGCCTTTGCTCTGTATTCCTCAGAACCTCCTGGAACTTTTCAAAAGCCTCTGGACCTCTGGTTTTCACCACGTCCAAGATGTGCCCTGCTTTGTCATATCTTGTGGGAATAGACTGAAAAGAAAAAATCAAAATTAGAGTGAAAAACTTTCAAATATACAGTCAATACACAAAACTAGTAAATTCAAAATAAAAATGCAGTTTGACAGTATAGTATAACCACTATAAATATATATACAAAAAAGGAAAAAAAAAGTAACACTAATATGAGATAAAATGGGGCCCATAAGAATATTTAACAAAACTGAATAACGTCTGCAAATGTTAAAAGTCATACTTTAATAGAGTTTCAAAAAAGGACCTAAACTTGAAAATAGATAATACAAGTAATTTGGCATGTTTTCATCATTCCAAGTATTTCACGGGTTGTTATTTCAACCTTAAACTCCATTACTCTTGGCAATTTCCTTTGGGACGTTCTATAGTTCCTTATGGAACTCAGGAACTCTACAGTACTCTACAGTACTCTTTGGGACTCGACAAGAATTATATCATCATATAAAAATCAGATCTGAGAAGTATGTCCTATAGGCCCTTTTATTACAATTCTGGGGCCATTTCCTTTAGATCCCCATGAGAAATGTCCGCTAGGGTTTCTGAAACACTTTAGTACTTGACAATTTAGTTTTAAAATTGTGCTACTTTCAGTTTACTAACTACCAGATACTTTAAGCAATGATGGAGACTCTGAAAAGGAGTTGCAGCACATCTCTTCAAAATTTCTCGCCAATATAAGTGCACCACGCATATACTGTACTGTAAAAAAATGAAATAGCCATACATGTATCTCATTACCGCCAGGTGACCGTAACTACATTTACAAATCAATGAATGTACCTTGATTTTCTCTATGTCGTAGTCTGTAATGAGGTTACAGGCCATGAGCTCACTCAGTAACACTTCGCTCACCATCAAGTCATCTGTAAGGGCCACTCTGTTCACCTTAAGTCGCTCCTTGTGCTCTTTCTCCATGGTCTGTGATAAGAAATTGCGGAATAATCACTCAAGCAATTCAAACAAAATCGATTCATTTTTTTCAAACAATTACAACACGAACTACACTGTGAACGGACGGGAGTGATGGACTTTCGAAGCTATCTATATCATCTTCATTGCCTTTATGGACTCATTTGCAACATTTTTGTCCATGCACGGGAGTGGCATGGCTGTTTTTTTTTTTTTTTTTTTTTTTTCAATAAAGGACATACATGTTTAAACGAGGTCCATGTACATTTTGAGAAGCAGTGGACTTTAAAAATAAAAAGCTTCTAATGTTGACAAGAGCATTCACATCTACATTCGGTATATGCGGTTTGAAAATACAGAATAATGCACATGTAGACAAGTATATTCATTGTAACAGACCTTAGATTCAGCAAACAAGTAGCATGTTAATGCCATCATTTTTAAAATGATTTTATCACTAATTTTTGTCACATCATACATGTATCGAAAACTAGTAGAGATTAAAAAAAAACATTTGCTAAGTTTACCCATATCGCAAATATTTTAACATGTAGAATATTTCTTCATAACACTTAAATTAGAAGACAGGCACATGTTTCCACAACGCTCTACGAGAGCCGTAGATTGTGTTTTTTTTTTTTTTTTTTTTTTTTGTTCCTCACAGCAGAGAATCGTGTTGTGAAATAGCCAGAGACGTATCTGTGAACACCCAGTAAAAATTCAAGAAATTATTCTGTGGCTGTAGATATTGACTTTGTTTGAAGTAAACATTTTCCTTTAAAACTACGGCGTCAGGCAGTGCTGAAAGGCTTCTTCCTAACTCAGTTAATGGTAAAACTATTATATAAATGTCCTTGATGAACTTACCGGAAATTTTCGTAAATTTCCTGTTATGATAAAATTTCAGATAATTTGGAATCTAACTTCTTCTCCCCTTAATGCTGCCTCACAGTGGCCCGAATGAGTTGTCAACCTGACTGCGTAATTTCTCTGCACAGCATTGAAAAACCTCCAGGGCCCGGTTGCACCAACCGGTCGTAAGCGAGGCGTAGCAGTTGCGCCGGAGTAAACCGGGCGCAAAATGCTACGCCCGAGTAAAGCTAGTTGCACCAAACTAGAAAAGTGTTTACGTCGGTCTTAACTTTGTCGTAGATTTACACCTGCTAGCTAGGTGGAGTAAGTCGGTCGTAGCTCGTTTTGCATTATGGCTAGGCTGGCACAGAGAGAGTTTGATGACAAATTAATTATCGTACTTAACGTAGATTATGTGGGTTGTTATTTGTTTGTTTCTTACACAAAACTTCCGTCTGCATAGCTTGGTTTTTAAAAAACAAGTTATATATATAAGTGATTATTAAATGCATTATGTGTGTAGCCATGTACATGTATATGCATGTGTTCAAATTTAATTTTAATTTAAAAATCTTTCCACTCATGTCGCACGCCTCACGCCTTGGCTCTCAGTAGTACGGTTTCTTTAATTCTTTTCACAATTTTTGACAAACCATAACTAACCATAGTCATTTTTTATTCACATTTTATATCATTCATATTTTACTATATATAAACATAAAGACGAAAGCTTAAAATATCAACATGTTAAGGCTCATATAATATGTATCAGGTCTCTTGTATTTTTCAATCTCCAAGATGTAAGCTCGATTGAATTAAATGATACCTCGCGGTGTAACCATAGATAAAAAAAAGGTCATGAAATTGTAGGCACTGTTGTAAAATTATAAAAAGAAAGCAATGCTGTCTTTTTTGCATTATTTTCAGACTCAAATGTTCCAATAACAAATGTGAAAGTGTTCAAATCCATTAATAGAAATACGTACTGCCTCCAACGCGTTTTTCTCATTTACAACAGCATACTATAATAATATTTTGATTCGGAATATATTTACGATTTTATTGCTATATATCCAAGGCAACAGCAAAGTTAACGTATTTTAACGTTCTTATTTCTAAATCAAAATGGAATAATGTAGCTCATGAATTTCTCCGTCACTCAAATGCACCTTTTGTGTTTATTTATGTCATCATTCCATTATGACTGCAGCTGAGAACTTCTCATTTGCCCAATTATACCATCCACGTATTGTTGGCCAGTGGCGCAACGGAGCGTTACTCGGGCGTAGTTACGACGATCAGTTTTTGTCTTGGTGCAACGGGCGTAAGCAGGGAGAGTGAACCTGGCGCACGGACGCCAGGCGTTGCGGTTTACGACAGTCGTAACCGAGTAAATTTACGCCCTGTTGGTGCAACCGGGCCCAGATCAATAATACAGCTAAAAAATAATCCCTCGACAAAAGGTCCCGTGGTAAAGTAGTTGTTTGAATAGCGTATTGGCCCTTTGCAAAACACAAAGATATGATTTACACTGAGCGAGACGTGTTATGAGAAACAACCATTACAGCTAGATCCATTTACACAAGTCTCACTCTGTTAAACATGCATGTCTCCGTGTATACTCTTCTGTTTTACTCTTCTATTCAAATCACAGGCCTACCCAACTACCAGACCCGGCACATAAGGATCCTGAATTAACCGGTATATCGGACCACACTACCCGTTTTCAAGTTGTGTGTCAGATCGCATTTCGGAGTATCAGTCAGAACACCGACAGGATGAGCCCACGCTCGGCTATCACCTTGATTGGATATTAAACGATTGTCGTAAAATCGCTATATGATTTTAAAACCGGGGGCATGAATTTGAAAACCACCTAGACAACCTTAGACTGCCACATTAATCTAATACAATGCAAAAAAAGCCCTATCAAAAGTGGTTAAAACATTCAAACCAAATGTCGTAAAGTCCCCATATACCCCCATAGAGACAATAAAATAGAGTACTCTAAAGTAAGAGTACAGTCTAAGGTTGTTGTAGGTGGTTTTCAAATTTATGCACCCGGTTTTTAAATCATATAGCGATTTTACGACAATCGTTTACTATCCAATCAAGGTGCCAGCCGAGCGTGGATGAGCCCGCAGTCGTCCTTCAAAATTTGTTCTGGGTATGATACTCCGAAATGCGATCTGACACACACCTTGAAAACGGGTAGTGTGGTCCGATATACCGGTTAATTCAGGATCCTTTTGTGCCGAGTCTGGTAGTTGGGTAGGCCTGAATCAGCTTTCTGTCGCCTGAACAGCTACAGTGTATTAGCACCGTTTAAAGCCCATATAACAGCAAGAAGGGGGGGGTGCTGTAAATTGTACATTTTCCATGCGCTAATATTAAAATAATTAAATCTAATTTAAGAAACGGGGAAATATCAAATATAGGCCTTTATATCATATTGACCCCCCCTTATACATTACATGCCACCCGGTAAAATTTCCGGGATGATTTGGAATATTCATAAATTATTTTAAACGTAAGAATGGCTTAATATTACAAAATATCACTAAACCTGTTGTGTCGTACGTTTATCTTCTATTACTCCTCGGTTGACGGGAATCTTGCTTTAATCACTGACATCCATATCCAACACAAGCGGATCCCTTCGCTGCAGTAAATGCGCATTGATTTCAAATTGTTGATATTGATTTGGGGCAAATATGGTTCACATTACCCAAATCGAGGCTTTAACCTTATATTCATTTTTTTTCTTTGTGCAAAGAAATGACAAACATTATTGTCAGAAACACGAAACCAATTGCAAAGGAGATATAACATGGGCCGCATAATCTACTAAATAGTTCCTAACCCCTTCAATATAAATTACTAGTAATGAAGCTATTCTAGATCTAGTTGATGCGTCCATTTCTTGAAAATGTTATTCCTAGCTGACTGCAATTATACACGCTCTAATTTTTATGTTCCCCGTTGTTGCACTGTGAGGGCTACGGTGGCGCCCATTAGGATGTTGCACGCCCCGGCCAAGATGTCGTGTAAATATTTATCATTATATACATACATGATATAAGCAGTAATTATTGTACTTGGTTTCCACACAGCTTTGTTGCGTTACAGGTCCACATACTGTAGTTCCTGATATTTTTCAGCTCTTGCCGATCTAAAAGAATATATTACGAGCAGATAAAGCCTAAAGTAGCATTTTGGCATCTAGTGCCTTTTCAGGCCTGTGGCAAGTTCCACTGCTTAGCTTGCGTATTACTACAACAGGTATTACATGTTACATTGTTGGGTTTTAATCAATGAGAGTGAATTTAAGAGGCTACGTGTAATCAAGAGATACCCGCTGGAGGGATAGGGTTTTACTGCAAAAGGGGGTAGTGAAAAAGTGGGTTACATATGTTACACACATGTACCTTCAACGCTTTGAGGGGGGGGGGGGGGGGGGGACTTCCGTGCACCAGTAGATTTGCCCTTGGTAAGGTCAAACCAAGGAGATGTGAGCGCGGGGTGGGATGGGGGAGCTACTGTGCCCGAATGGAATCGCTTTTGGCACGGTTAGACCAAAGAGATGTATGTGTGTGTGTGCGCGCGTGTTTGTGTGTGTGTGTGGGTGGGGGGGGTTACTGTGTTCTAATGGATTCGCCTTTGGTACGGCCAGATTAAAGAGATGTTAGGGAGCGGCTACAGTGCCCCAATGGATTCGACTTTGGTGCGGTCTGACAGAGAGTAGCCAGAGACATATCTGTAAATATCTAGTGAAATATCAATCTGAGGCCCGAGTAAATATCAACCCTATTCGATGATAAACGTCAGGCAGTTTTGAAGGGCTCCGGTCTAATTCAGTTGCTAGTGAAGCAAATTTAAATTTACATTAAAATATATAAATGTCCTTCATAAACTTACCAGATAGGTTCAGAAGTTCCTCTGTGGTGATGAAATTTCAGATAATTTGTAATCTAATTTCTTCTCCGCTGTTTCACAGTGACTCGAATGAGTTACCAGCCTAACTGCGCAATTTCTCTTCACAGCGTTGGAAAAACCGTCACGTCAATAATATGCTAAAAATATACCAGTACCTGTGATTCAAAAGCCTCGCGAAAAAACAAGTTAGTTGAATAGGCTAGCATTTTCTTACTTTGCAAAACTTACAAAGGTAAGATTTACGCTTAGCTGGACGCATTATGAAAACAGCTCCAGTCAGACAAAGATGAATTATCTGTATTTTTTTTTCAATTCAGCTGCTGCCGCGTATACTGTGTATAGTGTTTTTTAAGTCTTAAGACCGCGGCAGTAGGGCCTACAATAGAATCTCGGCGGAACTAAAAACCAAACAAAACACAAAAAGAACAACTTGTAAAGGAGTACTTGGTTAAGAACCAACCTTTTTGCTGCCGAGTTCGAAAACTAGTAATGGGACTTGACTTGCTGTTACGCATGCACTGTGCTCTTCAGATTGGTTTGAGAATCAACTAAGAGACCATTAAGAACAGAAAATTAAACAAATTTTTTTTCATAAGTTTTATTCTAACGCAAAATAGCAAAGAGACGAACGATTACATGTTTGCACTGGCAATTTCTGCTATACACTTATTTTCATATGGACGCATAGCGAAAGTACTAAAACAGAGAGGTCAGAGAAGAATTTCATCAGCTGTGTCAAGTTATAAGAATGATGTGAATTTTTCTTCAGTCAACAGCTTATATTGAGATAGATTTTACCTCCAATATTTCGATGTCTATCAGGACATCTTCTTCAGGGAATGAGGCTGAATAGCCTCTACTCAGGAGGTGTACTTGCCCCCCCCCCCCCACCCCATTGTCTTAGGAAAATCCTAATGGACTTTTAGGTATGTCAAAATAAGAAATAAATTTTATCACAGAGGCCTAGCAATTAAACGGATATATTTTGGCTTTGCAAGGCCCCTCCAGTGAGGCGAGGAGACCATTAGGGGATTAGGTGGCATTGCTTTTAAGTGGGGTTGGCCATATTTAGTCCACAGAATAGTTGGTCTGCAGTCGATCTGTTCTGAATGCGGCCTTAACTGTATATAAACATATAGATATATATATTAAATAAAAAACTTAACAAATGGTATTTATTGAACTCAGGTATTTATTTTTACATTGTGAAGAAGTAAAAACCCTGAACTCTTAACAAGCAGTAAGGCAGAACTTCATTTTCAAATGTTTACTTCCGGTTAATTCTCTTTAATAATTCTTTGCTTATTTAGCAATCATCATCTCTACTTTCTCTAACACACAATTAAGTCCACAGTTCTTTCCTCCCATCCCAGCGTACTTCATACAGCGCTCATACTGCCCTGAGTTCATATCACAGTGCCCAGTGCCCGGATACCAGGAGTTCAGACCCAGCTCCGTGCAGTTGGGGCCGTACCACCATCCTCCACCATTGGCGCATGCGCAGTGCGACTCGCCGCCATAGTCGCAGGTAGAGAACGTCTGCCCGCTGGAACACGTGTCTGCAGATGGGCAACTCGAGTCGTTTGAGGTGAAGTTAGTTACGCCCCAGAACCCTTTAAAATCTTGCAAGAAGAGACGATATCCATCCGAAGGGGAACCGACGCGAAACGAAGTGTACTTAAACACATGTTGTGTGCCATCCCAAGTTGTCAGTTCAACCTTAAGTCTGTAGTTTCCGCTATTGGTGACGTAAGAAATGATGTCATTTCCGATCCAGTAGTCCCCGAGGACTGGGTTTCCGAATCCTTTGTTATACTCCGCCCATGTTCTGTTGAAGAAGAGATCTCCGATCTTGCGGCTTTGAATGACCAACCACTTGCCGCGGCATCTGGCTTTGAATACCCTCGGGAACCCCACGGGCTGCATAGACAGGGTCACTGGAAGGAGAAAGAGGGAACAATTATCGAAAAATGGACAATTTTATTTGGCAGCGGAGTTACCAACTCCATGCAGTCATAAGTATTCTGTGTATTATTTAGGAGAGACTCCTAGCCTTTTCTTTACATAATTTCCCCACCTCCACACGCGCCATTATACGAATTTAATCTCGGCTCCAAGGTTTAATTGCAATGCACCTGCAGCGAAGGCGCGTGTGGAGGTGGGGAGACCATCATGGAATTAGCAGCATTCAATTTGAAGTGGGGACGGACATGTTTAGTTGTCGGATCAGTTAGTACTCGGATCATCTGAAAGCCCATTTAGGCTACATCTTTGCAGATTAGCTTGTACTGACGGAATAATAGGAAGCAAGTGCGTGAGATGGTGTGAGGATTGTGCACATCGGGCATGCGATGTGTTGGGTGTGTATTGTGTTATATGTGGCTATAAGTTGAGTTGGGGTAGAGGGAGCAACAGTTTTTAATCAATGAGAGTGAAGGTTTGAGGCTGCGTGTAATCAAGAGCTACACACCTGCGGGCAGGCGAGGAAAATGCTTTGTAGACGAGGAAGATATTAAATTTGCTGTAATATAGAGCACATGGACGAAAATATTGGCAACCTGTATCTCGTTTCACTTTGGACACAAGCTGCGTGTTGTCTTTTTAGGGAAGGCGGAGGTTATAAATAATACGTGCACTCATGCCTCTGGCGGTAAGGGCGGGGGGGGGGGGGGGGGTACTTGGCCCCAATGGATTCGTCGTTGGTACGGTCAGAAAAAAACTGTGCTGGTATAATTGTTGAAAATCTGACGCTTATGAATAGAGTCACCGGCAGACATTTGAATAAACATCGTAGCTAGCTACATGTATGACCAAGCACCACGTACTAGATACGTGCACACGACATTAATTTTATAATTCACTGTAACGCAAACACGCATATTAACATGTCAGGGTGAGCATTTTAAAAGCAACCTCTAAAATAATATACATTCAATTAATTAATTATATTATTTTTCGTACGTAATGAAAAATTGTTTCATTATTTTTTTCTTTAATTAACTGATTAAGTTCTATGATAAATGACTTTAAGAGAGACATTAAACTACGTACCCCATCTTGATATCTTGTCACAGCCGCTGTTAAGTATCTGAAATAAAAAAAGATATGTTTTCTTTAAAATATCTGTCAGATTGATTTATCACCTTTGATTTCAGGGCTCTGTAACTCGAAAGCATCGTGAATTGCGACCGGGCGCAAGCGTCTCGATTCCATAACTCGCCCATATTCGCCCTATATAATACCCTCGAAATAAAAGGCGATATCACTATTCGCAATTCGCGATGCTTTCGAGCTACAGAGCCCAGGCCCCGTAACTGGAAAGCATCGCGCATTGCGACTGAGCACAAGCGTCTCGATTCCATAACTCGCCCATACTCGCCCCATTATACATCGTAGCCTCTATGTGATATCGCTTTTCGCAACATGCGATGCTTTCGAGATACGGAGCCCATTGAGACTTTTAAAAATATGGAAATACAGAGTATCCGTGGCGTTGTGATATATTAGAATTCTACTTTGTAAAGCCTGCACTCTTCGATCGTATGTCATGTTAGTGTCAAGATGGATCGCAAAGGTCTCAAATGTGAACCATTATCTCGTAGTTCATTTTTTTTCATTATCCAATAATTGTTCATTATCTAATCCGTTTGCCTAAAATATAATACATGTGTTAAGTGCTTTTAACGTCTAAAAATCAATGACTCGTCGCTGTCGGTAAGGTTGATGTAGGATAATATGTAAATAAGGAGATTATTGGATGTTGTTTTGTCAAGCATTTGTTTGGTCTGGTATAAAACGACGCCTGGGGATAACGCAGGGTGCTTGCGGCGTTGCCAGACCGTATTGTAATCAAGGGGAGTGTTTATTTTCGCTCCCAAATGTGATCAAATCATTTATGTGTTACATCATTTTTCAAAAAGATGTAATTCATTTTGCTATTTCACTCTACTTAACACGTGAGAAACTGTTCCTTTCATTTCCAATATAAAAACAGGGGCGTAACCAGACATTTTAAAATTGTACGCACAGATTTTCATAATTGCCAGGTACATCTAAATTTAGACTTACGCAACAGATGAAGGACAGTTTAAATCATATGTACCAAATATCATAACTTATTTTCACCAGTAATAAAATCATCACTTAAAGTTAAAATATTCCCACGATATAATTAAGTTACAGTATATTATTTCACCATGAACCAACACTTTTTCCAGTACTGGGATACAGGCCGTCCGAAATTGCCAGCCGTAATTTCCTCGGAAATTTCAGGGCGTCCTACTTTTCCAAGTGACCGGGGGTGGGGGGGATTAAATTTAAAAAAAATTAAAGAAAAACAAATTTCAAGGCGGGGGGGGGGGGGGAAAAATAATCGATAACGATCTCCCGCCGACGCGCTATCGCAAAAGAAACTCCCCTGAATGAATATGAAAGTTGCCTTCTCGTCTCTCGTTTGGATCGGTAACGCTCTCCGCTGACGACATGCCGCGAACGAAGTCCCTTGAACGAATGTAAAAATTGCTTTCACGATTCCTTCGGTTCCCGATTGATCTCCCGCTGAAGAGATGAGAATGACCCTCCCTTTCGATTTCTGAAAAAAATCACACCAATGGCCCCTTTTTGAAATTAAAATTTTGACTAGCTGAATCATTCTTCCAAAACGTACCTATTGGCACAGTTCACCCTCTAAAGTACGAAAAATTTTGGGCCCCGAACCTCACGCCAAGGGGGGGGGGGGGGGGGGGAAGGGTCGGCTTCGCATCCGCGCCTCCCCCTCCCCTCAAATAATCCTGGAGCCGCCCCTGCCATGGTCAGCTTAATGATGAATTTTCTAAAAGTTGAAATTATATGTGGTATCATCCAAAATCAAGCAATTATACCACAGGATAAAATTCTGATATATCTAATTTTTTATTATTTGTTTGTGAAAATTGTCCATGCCACCCTCTTAGTTGGGAGGGCTAAGCTGGATCAAGTCCGTGTCAAAATTCTTTGAAGCTTTGCAGGAAAAATCTTCTTTTGTTTGTCTGCCTACTTATTAAGCCCGATGTCCAGATTTTATGTAGTGCCCCCCTGGTCTGCTGGAACTGCTTTTTGAAAATAACCCACAGGTGGATTTTTACCTGAGATAAATATCGCCGGGGAGAGTGCGTTCGATACACTCAAGACAAAGTTTAATTGAGAGTTGAAGGGCATTTAACCCTCCAATTAAGAGGTAAAGGTAGTTCCAGTTGGATGGACGATTTAGATAGGACTTCTGGAGATAACTAGTATTGTTTACCTCAGTTCTTTGAAAACAAACGAGAAGGGTGTCACAACGATGGCGCGTGTACAATTTATACAGAGGATTTGTACATTCAGGTGTCTTTAACTTACAGTCGAAGGGGATTGTAGATTATATTCTGTGAAAAATACACTAAATTTATAGAGAATAATATCATGGTTGGCCCAGAAAATTGTACGCACAGTGCATCCGTGCGTATGCCTGGTTACGCCCATGAAAAATAAAATAAATCTTATAAGTAGAGAAGTGAAATTCAAAGCAGCATAATTTAGTGGTTTCGCTTTTTTTTTAAAATAATGCTTGCAAAAATCTTGCATTTTCGAAAGTTTTTTACTTTTGATTTAATCAGTACCAAGGAGTTACAACAGTTGGAACTCCTTGTCAGTACCAAATACGTATTTCAAGCGGTTTTTTTTTTCTCTTAGGGTGAAAATGAAAATTTAGAATTCCGTCAAAGAATAATCTTCATCAGATATCCGCTGATTGTTCTTTATGGTAGGCTTTTTACAAACGATAACGTCTCGATTCTAAATTTATTTTACAATTATCAAATTTAAAATTTATGGTAAATCAGTTTAGTAAAGAAGCCAATTAAAATTAAGATAAAGAAATCCAAAATTTGAACCAACATAACGTTTAACTTGCCCACATAACCTTCAAACAATAAAGCCCGAAAATAGTGCATTTCCCCTTTGATTAAAAAACAGCTTATTTAAAATTGAACGAACTAGTTTCTGACGCAAGTGTAACGGCTAAAGACGATAACATTTGTAAATATTTTAGAAAATAATACACAAGATACGCAACGGTCAGTGGGATGATTTAGAGTTTGCCCATCTTCTTACCTTCTCGTAGTAATTATACCCGGGAAGAACGCTCACGTCTGAGCCGTCCTCGGACGCTGCCGCTTTATTTAACTCGCATTGAAACGTCCCGTTAATGGCGTGCGTGTTGATGGAGACACACAGATCGTCTGAAAGGCAAAGATGTGCACATTCACCCTGGGAGATCGTCGTCAGCGTTTCCCTAACGTGACCGATCAGCGCCCTCGAGCTGCCGTGACGCTTCACGAACCGCGCAAACTTCAGGGGTGACTCCCCGGTCTCAATGGACTGGCCTGTCACTAAAACTGAGAACAGAAGTAAGACAAGTCCTGTGAAGGATCCTATGGTGTGTCCTCTTATATTGGTCATTTCTATAAAATAAACACACCTCAACTTATGTATATAACACCTCTAATCTCCCTGTTTTCAGATTTGGCGATATCAAGTAAACTCAGCCTTGATGCTTTTTCCGCTAAAAGAATGACTTGGATAAAATCCCAGTGCTGCGCTTGAGTGGAATTAAACAATTTCGTTAGCTCCCGGATTTAGAAAGGAAGTTGGTGTGAAGTTGCCTTATATCTTCACATTGATTTTTTTCATCAGAGCAAGTTTACATAAAATTTCATAGAGATATCTAAAGTCGAGGCATTTGCGACATAAATGCAGACTGCGACAATTTGCTCCAAGCTGAAATTCTATATCTGTTCCTTTGACGGCGTGATGTTCGTCCTCGATTTCAGCCTTGACGTCTGTGAGAATGTTTTAACATTTGTAAGCTCAGCTGTGGCGAGACCGCCCTCTGTTAGATGCTCTCACGGCTTCTGAGAAACTAACACATGGGCGAATATTAAATGCCAATTCTTATACAGTCAGTGTTATGAATTATTTTCGGTATCGCGGTTTATTTTTCGTATCAGTGTAGAAACAAAATTTACACAGGGAAGTTTTTTGAAATATCATCAGTGTCTGGCAGATAAAATCTTCATTTTAGAGGGAAAACATAAATAATTCTCCAAGACAACACCTATTTATATTAAACAACTTTTTAAAAAAATATGTCTATAAATTTTATTTGTTTAACTTAGAAAACAAACAGCTCATGATCAGTAAGCAGTTCCTTATTTTTTAAAAATTAACTAAAAAATACATATAGATATATATTAAAATAAGCCGAGCAAGCTTAATCTGATATCTACAACTTCATACAAATCCATCATATTTTTAAAATTAAATCTTATGTCCGCATGTCATGCACCGTGTCTCTTTTATTGACGCTAACGGTTCAATTATCTTGATATTAATGGTCATCATAATTAATTTTAACAATAATATTAGTGCACAGTTGCTTCTTACAGAAAAGAAGTGTATGATCCTTGAAGTTATCACTAGCCAATAGCGCCTTAATGAAATTACTGTTTACAAGGAGAGATGTTATTGTTTCATCATTCAATGTGTCCGTTGCATGTTTGCCCAACCTGACTTACCTGCGTTAATGTAAGCCATTAATACTTAATTACTTACACAGCTGTTGGGCTTCAGATATCGCATTCTGAGACTTGGTTGAAGTACGAGACTTTTATTGAAACAAAGTGAAGTATCTTTATCTGATATTTGACTTTAAGAAGTCAACGCGCTGAATGAGCACTCGACCCTGTGGGGCATTGGTTACCGTGAATAACGCGTTTCGTAATCGAGCCAACTGAACGACCGTTGGAACAACTGTTAATATCACATAGGCGGCTTGCAGGAGGGGTGGGGCACGGCGCCCTTAGCTTCCCTGTCATAGGAAAATATTGTGCCCCACCCCAGCACGCGCTCCGTACACACATGTACACACACATGTGCGCGTATCACGCACGGTGTCTCTTTTATAAATTTAGTTCTTTCAGTGTAACAGTGTTAAGAGGGATTATAAACAATTTCATGCTGATCTTGAAGAATACTTTGACACTGAAAGTCATTTGTCCATCCCCTACAAGTACAAGCTCTCTCAGACGAACTATTTGGTCATTTCCCATTTCCATTTTCATTCTGTATATTTTCATAAAAACGATTCCGAACCTCAGATCGACTTTTATTGTTTCCATTGTCTGAACTAAACTCCTTTTAATCCTCTTTCACGTGTCTAATTTTCCGGTAGATCATGTGCACATCTTGTGCGCAAAATAAAATAAATCAATAATAATTAATATATTAAATTACTTGATGTAACCTGTAGATATCAATAAGCACGCACATTCGGTCGCCCCTAAAATAAATAGGATAGGTCGTGGTTCATGTATAAAAACACAGCTGATGAAGTCAATGATATAAACGTGACGCTAAAACAAAAATGTGTTGCCATTCAAGTGCACATGCACGACATGCCCCGTACAAGACCCTCGCTGGAAATGTACACGTTTACTTATACAGAGGGCGTATTTCGTAACGGTATCAAGTTACAATTGTAGACAATGGAAGGCCTCGTAATCGTGACAGCTTCACACTCTGGTTTTTCTCACTTTTGTAGGCTACAGGGATTGGGCAGTTCCACCCAACACTCTTTTTTGCTTTTTGAAATATATGCCTACTTTTATCTTATTGTTTAAGTATTAGTTAATCCTTTTCTCCCTCCCAGTCCATCGGAAAATCTCACTTTTCCTTCATTTAGCGTCTTTCCAAAAATATATCGGATGTCAGGATCGGAAACGATTTATTCATGAAAAATACAAATATGCACCGTGGGCCAAGACACAATTTTTCCATCCACCCTGAATATCTGATTCCATAGCTGTTACATACACTGCACTAACTTTTCTCATAATTACTTTCGATGATTCGATTTTTTCACTTATTATATCGGGACTAGCCTACACCTAGGCAGGCAGAGATTTGGCTGAAATGGTTGGACATTGGGGTTTGTTCGGGGACCTATTGCAGGGAGTGGTTTTATCTTCCCTGATTTAGGTCCAGAATGTCATTTCTAATCACATGAATTATCTTAATTTAGGCCCGTATTAGACATGCATGTTCTTACAAAATCAGTTGATAGTCAACAGAAATTATGCGGTATATCGGCCTACCAGTGCGTCATCTGTGGTCTTACTGATGATGTATGCTTACAGGGGCGGATCCAGGATTATTTGAAAGGGGGGGGTCCGCGGATGCGAAGCTGACCCTCCTCCCCCGGTTGGCGTGGGTTTCGAAAATTGTTGGTACATGTATTTTAGAGGGCGAACAGGGCCATTTGGTACAGTTTGGTAGCCATACTAGTCAAAATTCTAATTCCAAGAGGGGTATATAGGCCTATAGGCCTATATATACATTACTGTAGTCATTTTCTCTACTTCCATGCTGTAGTGTATGCCTACTTTTTTCAGAAATCGAAGGGGGGTCAGGACCCCTCTGACCCCCCCCCCCTACTTCTGAATCCGCCACTGATGTAGTCACCGTGTCCGTAAAATAATTGAGTTAGAGTACAGGGCCGTAGCCTCCGGGGGGGCAGTGGGGGGGGGGGGGGAAGGTCCCCCCCCCCCCCCCGGGGTTTGGGGGGCGGAAAAAAAAAAAAAAAAAAAAAAAAAACGCAAAGA